ATTGTGTTCCTTGTTACAAGTTGCATGTCATACATAGTTATCGAACGAGGAGTTTTATTTTGAATCCTAAGACAAAATTGTAGGTAATGCGAGGCTGTTGTTGTATTTTAGAGCAGAGTGCGCCTTTCGAGAATCCAGATTCCATTTCAGGAAGCCATTTGTGGTGAACATGCATCTGGTTGTCAGTTAGAGCAGGAGGGGGGGGTCGTATCTGGACCCTCTTCGAGGGGGGGGGTCGTACCCACACCGCCATTTGACACATCCCCATGCTGTACCCTGTACCAAATGCCGTCTCCATACTCGATCCGTATCCTAAAGGTGCAGCGTTTGCGTCGATACCATGATCCTGCAGCGGAACTCATGGTCAGTGGTAGAGAGCAACCAGAAGTGATAGGGCGCAGACAAGTAGCGCGCTTGGCTATGGTTAGCCCGTGTGGCTGGTCGTGCGGCAACGCGAGCGGTGTCTGAAGAGGGCAGTTGGGTATCACCACCTTCGAGTCTCGTTACCGTACTCTTCTGATCGAAGAAAGTGGCACGCTACTGCAGCTGCGAATCCATTATCGCCACCAACGGTGAGGACCAGCATACGGACGTTAGTGTAAGTTTGTGATTATTGAAGGGTAGGACGGTTATGGCTATTTGAAGATTCGGTATTGGTTCTCTGGTCCCAGGCCCGAAGTGCTAGCCTTACTATCACATGTTATTAACCTCGCAGTAAACATTATCGATCACCTTGCTATTGAAGGATGAATGTGACAATTTTTAGATTTATCAATTACGTGAACGAAATTTGTCAATGTCAACAACAGAAATCAATCGTGAAAGCAGTTCAGAAGGTTTGTCTTATTAAGGAACCCTTTCAAACGTCAGCTTAATTTGACCATTTCAGCTTGGAATTCCAAGTTGGTTGGTGGAAATTCGACACAATGCTTCTCATTCGCATGTACCGCCTATCAGCACGCTTCGAAAGGGCTTTGCATTCTGCAGGGAATGGATTTGGGTACGTCGTCGCCCCTCAAAGACAACTTGTTATGGATAGTGGGTGTTCAGTTATGAAAGTAGCTTATAAGTGCTCCCCTGAAGGAGAAAAAAAGCAGAAAAAAGTTTTCAAGATAATCATAAATAACATCGCTTCCTTACAGTCACATAGCCTTATCGTACGAGTTCTTTGGACTCGTTAACAATTCGACAATCCGCGGGGGTATGTGGCAAGAAAAGCGTAATTTGCTGCGCCAACGGGCGTCGCGCGCGACGTCGCGCCCCTTAACCACGGGTATTTTAGGTGGTATTGGCCAAAAACAGACATAAGTGTCCACCATATCCTTGTCTACATAAAATCCGATGCTCCAATCGAAAGGGTAGCGCAAATTGATAAAACGTCGCACCCACTGCCGCGCGCGACGAAGCGGCAGTTTATGATTCTCTTACCCTTCTCACAGCCCGCGGTCCCTATGCAACCCTGGCTCACAACGTTTTTTGCCTGCTTAATGCCACCGAATTCTAAAAAAAACGAAAATCTACAAGAACAGAGGAGCAGAACTAGTGACAGAGCTAACTTTTGCAAAGTCTGCGTTCGAGGCTAGGATTGCGGTGAGCAATGCACACCGAACTTTTGCATCATCCAGTTGCATTGCTGGCGAGTTGACGAGTTGAACGCTTAGGCAGCGTTCAGACTTCGCGACGGCAGCGCTTCGGTCGCGCGTTCGACGCGATCGATGCAGTCGAAAGCATGCGCATCGATCGCGTCGAACGCGCGACCGAAGCGCTGCCGTCGCGAAGTCTGAACGCTGCCTTACAGTCCTACAAGACTGCTTCTTGCAGGTCTCTGTTTTCTTGGAATTAAGATGTCCATTGACTCACCGGTCTTGTCAGTTTCCATACGACTACTCAAGATAGAGATGTTAAGATCTAGTTATGTACTGTGTACTGTATAATCTTGCAGGAGCATTTCTGGACACGCCAACCCCACGAGGCGATGAGATCGGCTGGTGCTGTTGATACGAACAGCGACGTCGTGGCGGCAGAGGCAGCACTACGAGATCAGAAGATTCATAACGCCATTGTAGCGTTCACCTTATGGAGGAATGAGGCGGGTTTGATTCCTTTGTTAATTCGAAATGTGTAGATTGCGTTTTTCTATATCTACATGCAGTTCGAACGGTATTCCACGGAAAAATGTACTGGACGCTTCTGCGAAGGACTTGAGCGCGACGTTCAAGGCTGCGTTCATACTTTGTGACAGCGTCTACCAGCGCCACTGACTAGAAAAGAATGGATATCGATTCAGGGTGTCTACCATTGTGTAGGAGGGAGCGGACAGCTGGACTAGGCGTTGTGAAGCCATTTCTAAGCTCACCGAACAACTGCAACACATTGCGGACCGCCGTAATGTGTGCATCTCCGGAACATTTTATCATTTTTCATCAGTAATTTCCCCCTTTCTGCAACGCTTGAGGAGTAAGTATGTTCCGTAACCGAGTAATGTAATTTGACAACACTGGAACACGAAAGGACAGCCAAATTAATCAATAAAACACTGCATAGCGACAAATTCATGACACACCATGTGTGTCACGCGGTCCGGAACGTGTTAAAATGCGGTGCGGTGCAGTAGTACGGTGCGGTTGCACATGCCAAATTTCCCGTCGCCAAACCCAGCTGTCTGCTCCCTCCTCTTCCGCATACTCTCTACTGCTGGACGCTGGTAGACGCTAGCGTTCGCTAGATCGACATTGATACTTCTCTAGTCGCTGGCGCTGACGTAGTCTCGAAACGCTGGTGGTCGCTATATCGCTGCCGCAAAGTATGTACGTCCTAATAAGCAAAGCGAATCGCGTTAACATGAATGATTCGGATTCGGGTCAGGGCACGTCATGATGATAAGGAAAATGGGACGCTCAGCGAGATGCCTCTTCATAGCCGTCTTAACGACGCCAGTGCCACGGAGTACAGCTTCGTCTTACCTAGTACCTACCCAGTCCTACCTGCTGTTTCTTGCATTTAAAAAATACATCGAAAGAGGCGGGGGGGGGTGGGAGGGGGAAGCCGGGAGAGAGAATGAAAGTTAACGGTAAGTGGCACGATACGCCACCGCGCTCGCCCGTCCACAAATGTCCGACCGATGCTGATATCGTATCGGTACGCCTAGCAACACGGAATCCGGCGCCCCTGAGCAGGTGCTCCGCGGCACCTTCTCCAAGAAAGGTACCCTTACAGCACCCTCTCGGGCTGCGACATACCGACCCGGACGCCCACAGCCCCGCGCCCCCCCCCTACCCGCTCACAAAAGTCCGACCGATGCTGATATGCTATTAGGCAACCAAAAAAGTTCGTGCGGTTTTTTTAATTGTCTACTTTTATGAAGTATATTCAGTAAACTGGATCTAGTGGTAGGGTAACTTTGAATACATGTTAAGACATATGTCAAGGAGTGTCATTCAGTGTATTTGTTAATTTAGATTACTTTCAACTGAGGCGAACAGAAAAGGTGCGGTTTTCCACCAGGATTAATGCAAGACCACACACTGCAAGAATCACTCAGGAAACAATAGCGCGACTAGGATGGGAAATTCTACCTCACCCTCCGTACTCGCCAGACCTTGCTCCAAGTGACTATCATTTGTTTTTGGCCTTGGACAACCACATGAGGAATCGGCGATTTGAAAATGAAGTGGCTTTGGACAACGAACTAAAACATTTCTTTAATTCCCAAAAGCAAGATTTTTACAAAAATGGAATATATGCTCTTGTGTCTAAATGGGAAAGTGTATTACTTGCTGAGGGTAATTATTTTTCGGAATAAATCTAAGTTTAACCCGTTTTTTATGTTATTATTTCGCTACCTTCAAAACCGCACGAACTTTTTTGGTTGCCTAATAGTATCGCCTCATTGGCGATGTACAATATGAAACAAGGGTTTGATATGGAATGGCAGCGGTGCTGAATGGATATATGCAGAACACATGTGCAGCCGTACCTACCGTACCGCTTCAGTTCGATTTTTCGCCATTCTCTCATTCAGCGGCACCCTGCTACCATCACACCGAGTATCAAATTATTGTGCCTTATTGCCTTCAAGACCTATTAACACCTAATTCGGTAAACCAGCAGGACGAGTACGGCTGGATTCCATCAATGACTCAAAAGTGATCCCTGCGTTTATGGATGGTCGTGTTGAGTAGAACTCACGTGAAAGAGGGGGCTACCATGAAAGAAAAAAGGCTTTATGAAGTAATTGGGCCTTGAAAAGCGTGACGTTGTAGATTATGAAATGGAATAGGAACGGACGAAAAACTGAAGGGTGATCAAAAAGCGGAGCGTTGTAAAAAGAGATCTACATTTGAGGTGAAGGTTGAGGGGGCACTTCGGCGACGGGGGGGGGGGGCGTTTTGCACTTCTGCTACTTCCCGTCGACGTGTCGACCCATCTAGAGAGCCATTTCATGAGCTTACAAGAGTTGACAGGTTTTACCATGGTGGCTCGACGAGCTTGCTCCAGCTTCACAAGAGTTCACAGGTCTCACTAGAGTGAGACTGTAAACTGAAACTAATGAAGCGAAGGTGTAAAATGCACCCCTCCCCCCTCCCGTCGCCAAGCTGCGCCAATTGAGAGAATCTAATATTAATCCGACTTTGAAGTCAAAGAATGTGTTTATAAGAAGCGAAGTGGAATAGAGTATCGCGTCACCTAATTGGTCTGGAACTGGTGTCTGCAGGAAAACAAGAAAAGTGTTTATTTGTGTTCATTACTTATGGATCTTACTTCCAGTAGCTGTATTCTAACTCATTTGTTGCTACGGCTTGGCTCCGCTTCAGAAACCTAGCAACCACAATGAGCCATAGCTTTATTGAAGGTCGGTAATGGAGTAATTTTGATGAATCTATGACCTTCAGTGGCGCTTGATGAGCGTAAAAATACGAAATATGAGGCTACGTTATGGGTCGGCCTTGGTGAAGACGTTTACTCGAGAGCAAGTATTGCCTATCAAATAGTTAACGGATCTGGGCTTTAAAGGTGATGTGCCTCCGAAAAGCCGATCAACCGCATTCATCACAGATCTCACTAGACCAGTGGAATGAGCCATTCTCAGATTTTCAAGTCTTGTTGGAAGATTTTCAAAATGCGATTCTTTTATTATATTGAAAGACATTATTTTCAGAATCCTTCAGAAGAAATCGGCAAGCAACCTGCGGTTGTAGAATTGACTCGTTTCGTCATGCAACAGCCATTGTACGTTCGCTGCCATTTAATTATACCATTTTTCACTTTAAAATCACCCTTTTTCAAACCAAATTCACCCCTTTTCAAACCAAATTCACCCTCACTTTTCACATCAAATTAACCACA